GAACACTAAGCACTTCTTTACCTTACTAACTTGATTTTAAACGTAAATATTGTGCAATAGCTAAATAACTTACTAAGTTGACATGCAGCACCTTTATAACCTTATTCATTTGAAAATCTAGGAAATTCCTTTAAAAATAATTTCTCAATGTTACGATCATACCAATCATATCAAATTTTGAAAATTCTACCATAATTACTCAAATAGTCTGCAAAGGTATACGCTGAAAAGCTTTCAGTAAGTATACGTCCAAGATCATTCCATTTATAACGCAAGCTTTTAGCCGCTGCACGAAAATATTCTAGAGGATCTTTAAAGTAATTCTCAGTAAAAAGATTGACTTAAAGTACCTAATAATTAGAACGCTCTTACACATTGTAACAATCGTACAAAAATACCATCTTTTAATAGCAATCTGCTCAGAAATACTCCAAATTATTTTATCCAAAAATCCCGCGGATGGAAGCGCAAATCTATTAATTTTATCTAGCTATTCTATACCAAACATGCATCAGTCTAGAACGACACTTAAAATTGATAGTAAGCCTCGATAGCATCATTTTTACTTTAACTTAATAAATTATATCGTAAACCAGAATTATTAATAGCCAAATACGTAAGCAATTAAATAATGAAAACAGTATACTTGCTTAAGTTATTACGGCTCGACTTTCATTTGAATCATTACTAATTGTATCGGTCTATAGAGAGCTTTTCGATATGTTGCATATCATAAAATGGCGGCCGTTAAACATATTTATTTATAAGCAATAGCCGATCTTGCAAGTGAAATTCAAGTCTGAATTTCTTCTATCGACTTTACTGTATTTCAAAGTGTTGAATTCTAAATACAAACACACTAATTTCCACTAATGTTATTAGCTTTTTATACTTGACTGAGTAAACTGCCTTAATCAATCATATACGGNGGTAGCTGTGGACATATTTTGTTATTTCGCATTATGACCTAGATTAGGATCTGGACCTATATAACAGCCCTTAAGGCTTGAGCCATTGTAGTACTACTGGATTTCTATTGCCCAAGAATGTAGTAGCTAATT